ATATCGAGAAATCGCAAACTGTCGATATTTTTTTAAGCTCTAATTGGGGGCCACCAAAATTGCACTTACTACATATTTTTAAACACTTAAAACGGGGTTTAAAATACATTTCAAAAACCTAGCTAATTCTGTAGTATAATGTTCTTCAATATCTGTTTACCCTCCAGTCATAACCAATAACGAGTGGTAACAACCTTTATAGACGCCACTTAAACTGTCCAACTGCGAGGCGCTTAGGGTCCACCATTTCAGTTCCCTCAAGTGTTGCTTTGCTTCCGAACAGCATCGATACTTGTATTGGAAAACAAAGCAGGGGAAAGAATTGAAGTCCACCTAGTAAAAGGAAAACTTTGGCGAGCAGCCGCCTTTCCACACCTAAACACACACACACACCCATAGGCAGGAAACCAAGGCGGGCGGAACCCATAGGCAATTTCCGTTTCCTGTTGTAAGATGAACAGCTGCCCCAATGGCGATTCCTCTCCCTCTTTTCGCTCTTTTGCCGCCATTTCCTATTCTTACCGCCGCTTTTATTCTTACGAAGATGCCGGGGTAATAGAGCCAATAAAAATGGCCGCCAATTGCGGTGAAAGTGCCGACCTCTCGAAATACTCGGTGCTGAGTGTAAAATTGGTTCTTCATTTAAGCGAGAAAATTGTTAGAAAAGCGATTTTCCTAAGATGAAATAAGTGTATTCAGTAGTGGTATAGTTAGGTGAACTTAAGCATTGTATTATTGCTGACAATTTAATTTAATTTAATCTAAATCTAAACTTTAAAACTAAATTAAACGGAACAAAAAGATACACCTCATGGCTTTATAACAAACCATTATTTTTGAAAGACTATAGTGATTGTTATTCGTAAATAAATTTGTTCCCAAATATTCGATAACAAACCAATAAATAATAAATCATATCATATCATAGCTTTAAATATATTAAAAGGATTTTTTCATAAAATTGGAAATTTATTTTCTCTTAGCTACCGTACTACTTTATTGGTGGCCATACCCTTTCTAAACTCTTTGTATCGTGTATGTAATCGTGGCCCATCATCTGCAAGTACTTACTAGATGGTAACTCCCCGGCTAACTCACCTTCTTGGCCTAAGCACATATCAGGGGGCAAAGTCGGAGCTAAGCAGGACATTAGCCTGGCCACTTAGCAAGGACATTAGTCTGCTCAGCCAGCCCTTTGCCAGTAGACATAGCCTCCTGCTCAAACGCTTTGCTGCCTTTTAATGCGTTTAAGCGCATTTACTTTGCCCTGCACAAGAGCTACTCACTTGGCATTCAGCTGAATGCCTTGTGGCCTTGCCCCCCATCGCCCATTGCCACCCACTTGTTGCTGGCCTTGAAGGCGGCAACCAACCGCAAACCGCCCACCAACCAACCGCCTTACGGGCCGCCCACATGTGAGCTGATTATGGTAATGCGCGGACCCGTTTAATCCGATGCCAAGTCAAACAGCATTTGCGGTGCCTGCGAATTGAATTAAGGAACAACAGCGAAAATGTATATAAAAACTCAAAGTTCCAGAGTTAAAAGTGCGCGCTAGCAATTAAATTAAAAGTTCGCCAATTTTATTACGATTTTATGACTTTCACTCGAGAGGTGAAATTACCAACAGGTCAAGCGGGAAATGTGTGTGAGTGTGTACGTTTTACGGCACTTTCCTTTTAAGCTTTTACCGTTAATAAGGTTGAAAGAAAGCCTGCTCTCCAGAACTCAAAATGCCCCTTTGTCTTTGTGTGTGCGGTGTAAAAAGCTGGGTTATTATAAAAAGGAAGTACTGGCCTCGATACTCTATAAACAATTATTTAAAAAAAAGTTGGCAAAAGATGGAACCTGCACATGTCAATTTAATATTTTTTAAAGATCAACTTATGCATATCATTTTGATTTGAATAAAGATTATAGTTATCTTATTTATTGGTAGGGGGGAGGGGGGGAATTTCATTTTTAAAATTTTTATTAAAAAAAAAAATTTTTTTTATTTTTAAAAAGGGGGAAAAAAAAAAAAAAAAAAAAAAAATTTTTTAATAAAATAAAAAAAAAAAAAAAAAAAAAAAAAAAAAAAAAAAAAAAAAAAGAAAAAAAAAAAAAAAAAAAAAAAAAAAAAAAAAAAAAAAAAAAAAAAAAAAAAAAAAAAAAAAAAAAAAAAAAAAAAAAAAAAAAAAAAAAAAAAAAAAAAAAAATAATATTTATTAAATTTTTATTTTTTTGTTTGGTTTTTTTTAAAAAAAAAAAAAAAAAAAAAAAAAAAAAAAAAAAAAAAAAAAAAAAGGAGAAAAAAAAAAAAAAAAAAAAAAAAAAAAAAAAAAAAAAAAAAAAAAAAAAAAAAAAAAAAAAAAAAAAAAAAAAAAAAAAAAAAAAAAAAAAAAAAAAAAAAAAAAAAAAAAAAAAAAAAAAAAATTATTTATAAAAAAAAAAAAAAAAAAAAAAAAAAAAAAAAAAAAAAAAAAAAAAAAAAAAAAAAAAAAAAAAAAAAAAAAAAAAAAAAAAAATTAAAAAAAAAAAAAAAAAAAAAAAAAAAAATAAAAAAAAAAAAAAAAAAAAAAAAAAAAAAAAAAAAAAAAAAAAAAAAAAAAATAAAAAAAAAAAAATATTTAAAAAAAGTTTTTTTTATAATTTTTATGAAAAAGCTAATAAGATATGATAACTAATTATATTGCCTTTTTATTGATAAGAAATAAGGTAGAACTAACCATATTTCATATCGAATTTTTTATCTGTTTATTATAATAAGAGATTTAAAGTAATTAAAAAAAGTTTTTAGTAAATCTCAAACCAATTTTATTTCATTAAAAGAGCATTGACTGTTCGAGTTGGCCAACACTAGAATTTTTCTCCTTTCGCTTTCCAATTTCTTGATTTTTACCTTACCCTTGCCTTTGTTTGCTTAAATTTCCACTTTTGGCCTTCTTATCAAGAACGCAAAGCTTCAGGTTCACCCAGTTGACCCGCATTTTAAAGCTGCTTAAATGTTTGGCAGACCCCCATTGAAATGAATGGATATTGTGCTGCGGGGGTTGTGCGGGTTTTTTTGGGGGGTCAAATGGGAGGCAATTTGCGGGCGGGCAGCAAACAAAAATTCATTAAAATTTTGCATATTTATAAAACTGGAGAGTGACCCCCGCGCTGGAGCCTTGGGGCTTTTTGTTGCTGTTGTTGTTGCTTTTAAAGCGTCTCCCTTTCGGAATTTTCTTGTTTATGCTTCGTAATGTGGCAAGCTTAAGTTTGCTAGCCGAAAAGTATGCAGCGGAAAAACTCAAGCCGAGTGTAAAATATAAGCACCGAGAAGGGAAAGATGGCGGAGAAAAAGTTTTTAATATGCGGATAGCTTTAATTAAATATGTTTTCCACTCGGCGAACCCAAAACGCCAAGGAAAACAAAAACAAGCTAAACATAATGTGTGTGTGGGTGTGTTTGTTTTTTGGTGTTTTTTCCTCACTCGAAACATAAACATAAATGTTGGTCGGTGTGGCAGGCAAACAAGCATTTCCCTTCGCTTTTCTTTGCTTGTTTTTCTATTTTTTTTCCTTTTTGTGCTTGCTATTTAAGCGAAAAAACTTCTGGTCCATGAAAAATTTGTATGCACTTTTTCCTCTGTTTACGCGGATATTTTATGCTACTGGGTTATAAATTTTGGCTGACTTAGTTTCTGTTTTATGTAGTCATTTAGTTAAATTTTAATTGTATTAATTAATATACGTCAGAGAAAGTATTTACTTATTAAATGGAAAGATCTAGGGAATATTTATTTTCCTTTCACAAGTAGAAAAATACTGCCTTCTCTGAATCAGACAACATATCACATGCCTTAAATCTGTATTCAATAATTTCATTATGAAAAGAAAAAGCGCCACTCGGCGCATTCTCGGAATATTTACTTGTAATGAATTTTTGCATTTTATTTTTCCCTCGCTGCCTTTTGTTCTGCAGAAAAGGCAGCCATTGTTATGGCTGATTTCTGATTTCTGGGTTTCCTTTTGCACATTTCTCCATTTACCGCCTACAAGGGAAGTTTAAATAAACATAAAATGGGCGACACTACCGTGGAAATGTGCTTCCCATTTTCCTTTTGCCCACATATGAGCGTGGAAAAACAACAAATTGACATATCGAGGCTGAAAAATTGCAAAAGCAGGAGACAGAAAAATTTGTGTTTCGGTCTCGGTTCGGTTTTTGTTGTTTAAATCGTTGCAAAATTCATCGGATATGAAAATCTAATGATTTGTAAAGTCGTCGATAAGCGGGAAAAGTGTAAAGGGATAGCAGACTGGCCCCGGGGTCTTTTCGGAAAAGTTTACCCAGCCTTACCCCCTTGATGATGGTGGGATTGTGGGTAGGCTGGCGAAAGGATTTTCACCATTTATTGAAATATTAATATTTGCTCATATAAGTGAATGTCCGTGTGGGTGCGTGCAAAAAAGTTTTACCCATACACACACACACACGAAACTCTGGAAATTAAAGCCAACCAATGTTTGCCCAAGAAAATTCAGTTGGCTAAAAAGTTTTTCTCAACCAAAAATCAATTCAAAGTTTTGCTTTAGGCCTTGGCTACTCCTTTTTTGTCCATCTTGCACTCTTTTTTCTGTCCTTTTTCCGGTTTATGGGTCAAGCAGTGAACCATCTGGGGATACTTCTGAGCTCTATATCGGATTAAGAGCCATTATCTTTTTGTCGGTCTAAATTATGCCCAACTCCTCAGCTGCGAGTGGTCGGGAAATTTATTGTGTAAATTGTATTTATTTCAGATTTATAGATACACATGTCCTTGTATGAGTACATATAAATTTCTTAGCTCCCTCTTGAGCCGAGATTTCTGGTCTTTCGTGCTGGCATTAAAAAATATTTACAGTGTCTAGACTTGCCAGCGCATAAATCAAATGCATGCGAGTTTTCTTCTTCGCCTGCAAGAAGGAAAAACTTTCCGAGTCTCTGGCTCTTAATGTGCAACGTGTGGCTAAAAAGTGCTTAAATAAAAAAAATATTTGTGAGCAAAGTTCCACCGCAAATGTATTTAAACGTCAAAGAAAAAATAAATATTAGAAGCAGAAAACTTTTTGGAATATTTGATTAAATAAAAGTTTTCCAAAACGGCAAATTTGTAATTCTCTGAACTCTGGACTAAGACTTGCAATGGATAATTTGGTAGTACATATAATAAAAGAAATACAATTATTCGCCCCGTCTCAAGCCACTCGGATCCAAAACAAAGCGCATGCCGAAGGCAAATCGATCTGTGGGCAGGTTCATCACCACACTGAAACCCATTTGCAGTGGCAAATGCCTTAGGTATCTAGAGAAATAATACAATAATTTCAGATAAGACTCTCGAAACCACAGCAATACCCACTTGGTCCACATGAAGCCCACCGAGGCGTCCGAGTCGAACATTCCATGGACGGCCGAGTTCCAGAAGTTCCATTGATAGCATATGGTGGCTATGGTCTTGCGGGTATTACGATTCCAGGCCAACAGGTTGGCCATCTGGATTTGCGGATGAATGCGCTGCCAATAGCTAACATCCAGACCCTGTCTCGAGGCGGTGGCAGCCAAGGAATAGTTATAGTGGGAGTAACTGAAATGTGATGGTAATATAATATAGATATTACAAGAAAGATCTTATATCTTGGAATTTTAAGCTAAATTATTATATATGCTTTAAATACTATTTTAATTCAAATAATTAGATTATCTTACCGAGCTGCAAGTGCCAGATCCGGCGTCAGTTTCTGGGGTTCGTTCCACTCCAGCAGAAGTTCCCCGCCGAGGGCCCAGTGGGCGGACACCGATCTCATCACGGACAGCGTACAGCGTCCATTTTCATTGCGAACATTATAGAAATTGGCCGTCCAAGTGTCACACTGTCTCGTCCACTCGATCGTATACTGGCTCTCCACGGGAGCAGCCTCCCTGGCTTTCTGCATTATAGCCTCCATGCGAAGGCATTGGAACGGATAGTACAGGATATTCAGGTTGGCCGCCAGCGACGTGGGATGTATGTCGCCCATTATGGTGGGGGTGTACTAAAAATAAAGTGGTTTTAAAAAATTTAATAAAATAAATTAAAGTAAAATATTTAAAACTAAATATATAGAAAATGAATAAAATGTTAATCACTAATATTGAAAATAATATTTTAAATTCCCAAAATAATTAAGCAGTCAATCTCCAGATGCCCGAAATACTATTCCATAAAATATTATATAAAATACTATAATTTATAATTGCATTTATTTTTTTTAAAATATTATATATTATTTATTTTATATATAAAAGAGTATTTAAGACGTTCGAATGATTTTTCATAAAAGACCAAAAAAATAAAATAACTCACCATAGTATCATCTTGAACGCGGAAAGTGTACAGACCGCCGAAGCGAAACCCCGAGGCCCTGATGTGGCTGAGAACCCAGGAGGCCGTGATGTACTTGTTGGGCGCCAACCGGTGCAGGTAGTCCAGCTCGATGCCATCGAAGAACTTGGGCATGACCCGGTGGGCCAGTATGTGCAGGTTCTGGACACTGCCGGGATTTTTCTTGTTGCAATGGCCGCTGACGCGTTCGAAGCAGTCGGGAAAGAAGACGCCCAGCTCCGAGTTCTTGTAGGGTGGACAGTTCTTGCATGACATATTGTTTTATTTGTACTTTTAATGGAACGACAACGTGGTATAAAATGCAAAAACAGTGTTTAATGTGGAATTCGGTATTGATCCTTCGCGGCACCGAATGTATGAAGCCTGAGTTTGTCGGCGAGTTTAACTGGAATTGTTTCCCTTTTTATTTTTCGCTCAGCCCTTACCTGGCAACAAGAAACGAAAATGTTACATAGACCTGATGTTCGATCAAATATTTATGATATACATGGGTTGGTTTTGGAGGACGGTTGCTTTACAGACGTTTCCTACAGCGCATTCAAGCAAAAATATCATCAGCTGTCAATTGTCATTTTATGCGCCATTTCATGGGCTCCTTTTCGCTTTCGCCATCGCTTTTACTTCTTGGGCTTGGCACACCATTAGGCGCATTTCACACTTTTTACATTATTTATATGCCAGCGTCTTCTGCCTTTTGGTTTTTATTCTCTGTCGCCAACGCCTTCTTGGCCCTCCACTTCTCTTCATTGCCCATTCGGCAGGACATGAAATATTTAAACATCGAGTCCAAGCGAGCTTTTAAAGGATAATGGTCGGAGCGACGAAGATGCGGAAGATGATGATGATGTATGGAGCCGCGACTCGCGTGTGTCTGTCCAGAATTATGGTCCTCATTGCTGTTTTCGGCTATTGGTCTGGTATCTGACTCACTCGATGGAATTATGGATGGGATAATCTCGAGCGACAAATCATTGAACTCAGTCGTGTAATTTCCTGATTAAATTCGAAGGATGTGAGAAAGCAAATGAAAGTTGCTAATACCAACATATAAGTTTAAGTTGCTAAAAGATTATAGTTATTAACGGAAAACAAAGAATTTTATTTATAAAATAAATATTCTTCAAATATAAAAATATCTGTTCATGCTAATTTCCTTGGAATCTCTTAGGAAAATTATTAAAAACTCGTGGTTCGAATAGTTATAAAAGGTCTTGAAAATTAACTCTTTATGTTAAGTATTTAAATAACCTACAAAATTTTGTAATCTTCTGGAGATTTTTAAGAAATTTTCGGAAATGTAATCAAATGTTTTGAGCTTAGGAAGCTAATACGGTGGCTATACGAAAGAGAATAAATGACAATGGCAATGACGTTTGCCAGATGTCGTTGTCTAAGCCGATTTCCAGTCGGAGTTCATGAAAGCAAATGCAAAAGTTGTTTATTCAGCAGCTCAGTCGCGGCTCGGGCTTTTGTACTTTCCCCACTTTCCCGGCTTTCTCCGCTTTCCCATTTCCATTTCCTCATAAGCTAAGCCCTCGCCTTCCACGCGGTGGTGAAGACATCACTTATTTAGACGCCAGCACTTAAATTTATCACTCAGCCAGCAGCTGGCGGGCCGTCTGGCTGGTTTGGCTCAGCCATTTGCTTTAATTTAATATGCTAAAATATAAGGGGAGCTATCCACCCGCATTCTTAGTTTGCGGAAAACCGCAAATGCTCAAAGGAAAAGGTCTATTTGGAATGGGCGATTCAACATGATAATCATAAGTAAATAGCACAAGTGCCACTAAAAGAACTTGTTGAAGCCTATTGTGGGAAATTTTAACAAAGATAAGAAGTTTAGATATAACTCAGAATAAAACTTTATCTTAATTTCATTAAATATTTATTATATTTTATCTAGTGAATGGAATTAAAAGGTGCCTTTTTTATTTTTTATTTAGCAATAACTCAGAATTTTAAATCATTACTCAACAGTAACCTTTGAAGCTTATCAACTTTAACCCACTTTTTATAAATTTTGTAAAATCAATTAATATTTATGTCGACATTTTTTCAGCGAGCAAAAACAAACTGTTGCGCTGCCACAAGTACGCACTTACCTTTTTTCAAAAAGGTAAACAGAATTGACCCAAATTGCGAAAAGTTTTAAAGTTCAGAATGAAATGTTGCAACATCAATCGGATTTCCAGAGCAGAAAAATAAACAAATAAAGTGTAGTTTCAAGAGAAATTCGCTGTTAAGAGCAATTGGATTTACAATACTCGTCCATCGATTCCTCACTCTTCTCTTCCTTGGCCTCTATTAACTTATGAGCTTTTTCCGATAAAGTGCCCGAAAAAGTAGGCAAAAAATACGTGCCCGCCCCAAGCAAATATTCAAATGAATATAAATTAAAATTGAAATATAAATGATACGCAACAAATGAAAAACACTGTGGACAAAGTAAGTGAAAAAGCAAAAAAAAAATGCGCCAACATTTAAAATATTTACTATCCACCATTGTAAAATTGTAAAACATCGAAGGACGAACAAAAAAAAAATAATTCAATCGCATTTCGATGCACAATTTATTTATTTATCTCGTGTTTTCCAGTTTTTTATTTCATCCTTTTTGTTTACGTGTGTGTAAAGTTCCTACTATCGTGTTTATTTTTTTAATTGCTCAGGGTTTTTATACATTTTGCATATAATTTAATTTTATTTATTACGCTTCAAAAAACAAAACCAAAAAAAATACATACAAAAACAGCAAAAAGGAGTCGAAGTGGGCAATAAATTTTTAATATTTTAAGCAATTTCAATTTTCCGAGGAGGAAGTTGATGTGGAGGGCTGCACTTCTGTAAATTCGTTATCAATAAATGTTATTTGTGTTCATTTAAACTTTTGTGTGCGTTGGCCACCTCAGGGGAATTGAAATGGGATTTTAACAATTGCAGCAACAAGGCTGAAAGTGGAGTATATACTGGTTGTTGTAGTCGAGCGGAACTTTTTTTAAACAAATATTTGAAATCTAAATGTACACAAATATCCGTACAAAATGCAAACAAAATATTATGAACTAATAGGAGGAAAAGTTAGTTATAAATTTAGCAGTAGATTTGAATATTCAATTTAATTTGTGATTGAAAATAAATGGGAAAAAAATAAATTAAATTGGAATGAAATAAATGAACAGCGCAACTTCACGCAGAAAATAAAAGTACTTAAGGAGAATAAAACGTGAATCGAATAACCCTATCTCCTGTGAGTTGCTCTCAGCTTCTTCACACTTATTTCAGCTCCATTAAATATTTACAATGAGGCAAACAAATCAAAGTGACAACAAACAGAGGCCTTTCGCCCCTCAGTACTTTTACTGATTTTCGCTTCACCAAATATTTGCATACCTCGCTCGCTTTTCCTCCAGAGAGCCCGTCTATATCCCTTTGACTTGACGTGAAGTGAAAGAGTTCTCAAACCGACTCGGTGGCACTTGGGCACGATTTGCATTAAGGACTGGCCTCCGCCTCCCCATCGAAGTGGCTTAAAAGTGTCTTCGACATTTTGCCATTGGCATCCATTATTTTGTAATTATTTAAGTGCCTTCAATGAGGCACCTTATTGATGATGACAGCGGGTTGCTGGCCCTCAGTCGCTCCACACCCACGTCCACATCCTCGCCCCGAGGCGGCGCAGGCAATAAGTGAAAAAAATCAAAAAGCCATAAAAACTTTACACAATCGAAACGTGCAAAAGTTGATTTTTGCCAACGCCAGCAGCCAAAGCTAAAGAATCCACCACCCATCGATGGCAACAACAAATGGAATCGAGTCGAAAATAAAAAGTCAGACAACAAAATCAAAGTGCGGCCGGCATGTGAAAGTAAACTTACTTTTTATACCCAAGAAAAAAATAAAGGTATATATATGTTCGCTTTGAAAATGTGTATAATCAATATATAAAAGTTCATTAAAAAAGAAGAGCATTGAAAGTTAACAGAACAATCGACGTTTTTATATTTTTTGATATTAAATAATTTTGTTCTATTGAAAACATCAACATAATCGAAATCATATTGTGATATATCGAAAGAATCGCTGTTTTTCCATCTCTATTACGTATGATTATTTAGCAAGACGTGTTTCAAGAGAGCAATAAGTAACCTTTAGTCGGGACAATCGACCATGTTCCTGTTTTTTTTTTGTATTCCTTGGGCTGCCTTTGCTGCTTTTCTGCAAAGGATGGGCAGCTAATACGAGGACAGCAAAGGACACAGAAGGCCCAGGAAGGCAAGGGGACAGTCGAAAGTGGACACCGGAGGAGAGTGGACTGAAGAGGACATTCCGAATCGACCCATAAAAAACGAGAGCGAATAAAAAGCGCAAGAAAATTACTTTCCGCTCTACAAATTTTCGCAGGGGGAAAAGAGACACACAAACAGTGATACAAAAGTAATTGGAAAAGGCCACCTTTGATTAAACTAAAATAGTTCGGGAAGAAAATAAAGTTTAGGGGTATCGTTATTAACTTTTTGTAATGTTATATCGTACGAAAGTCCTGCAAATAGTATTTATTAAACCTCTTGAGTTTAAAAAACACAAAAAATAAATTTCTTTAATTTTACACATAAATTTGTGCCACTGTGCCACATCGATGTCAGCAATCGGGGCCATCCACAAAGTCAAGCGTGTAAAGTAAGTAAAGATGCGAGTAAAAACCTTTTCCGCCTTTTCAGCTTTGCTATCGGCCCTTTTGAGGCATTATGTACTGACAATTTTCATGATTATGCGCTTACGGATTTTGAGAGTGTCCAGTTCCCTTCCTTCCAGTTCCTCTTTCCTTGCTTCCCCACCATCATCATCATCATCTCTATATCTCTGAGTGTCCGGGTGAGCGCAGCTGTTAAGCCTTTTCCGTTTCCGTTGTCGTTTATTTTCTGGCTGCTTCTTTTTTCTCTCTAGTTCACGACTTGACTTTGGCGCCTAGCTAAGTATTGATAGTATTGGATACCATCGACAGCGGATTTGGGGGGATGAGAGCGCCGAGGCTTCCTGGTTATGGCCATCAAAACGGAAATGAAGATGGGGATTCCATTCAATTGGCTTTTCGAGGATGCCAAGTCCATGTACGTATGCTGTGTATGTGGGATGTGAAAAGTGTTGGCAATTGTTGCTAGCTAGACATTTTACGGGTAATTATCGAAAATGTTATCCCGGGCACGGAGATGGCCGATGATTGAATATCCATTGGGGAAAAAGCAGAGTGCCAGTAAAGTGAATGAAAGATTAAAGATTAGGCCCAAGGGTTAGGCACTCGATATATGAGAAATAAAGAAGTGAAAAAAGATTATGTTGAATGTGTTTGCCAATCCTTTGAAGATTATCAGGGTAAAGGAAAGTCATCGAATGAATTGCTGAAAGTGAAAAATAAACATTTGGAAAATTACTTTATGAATATTAAATTTCTGAGGCTTTTTATTGTTTGGAATTTAGATTTTAGCATATAAAATAAAATGTGAAACATTTAATTCCCTTAAAGAATAAACTTTAATCAATATTCACTTTATGCTCCGACTTTCATTAGCCAAATTTATATCCAAGTCAGAAATTCAATTACCGGCGAGCATTTTGATTACCTACCAATATCTCGGTGGGGAATCCGCGTGCTCGAGCACAAATCTTGGCCATAAAATTGTCATAACTGTAAAGTTATTGTGACATTTCCAATAAACGGAAAAGAGGGAAAACGCCAGCTGTGTCTCCGCTTTGGGAGGAGAAGGGGGAGAGGCAAAACTCCTGTCTGCCGGTGTTCCTCGGTTAATTTACTACAATGCGCCCAATATGCAACATAAATAATGCCGAGCATCCGACATAAATAACCGGGACTGCTAAAATTGGCAGGAGGACACAGTTGGGAGTTGGTTTTCGTTAAGCAGCTGCTGCTGCAGTCAATTTCAGCGTTCGTCTGTAACTGTAACAATTAATTAGAAACTAACAAAGTTCCACTTGGCAGGCGCTAAACTTGTCCCAGAACTCGGGGACCCAAGCGAACCGAAACCGAAGCGAATCGAATCGAAGGCGACAGTCAAGACTGTCGCGCACATAAAGCGCTTTTAATTGATTTTCCTGTTACGTGCACTGGAGAATCGCCGGAGAATCGGAGAATTGTCGCTTCTGGCTCCTTCCCATCCCACTGCCTGTAATCGTTCATTCATTCATTTCGAATTGTAGTTAATTAATAAATTATTCCGAGCGATTGAACTAACAATGTAGGACTGTGAAAACTTTCACTGGCAGCTTTAATTACCTTTTGGTCCCGGGACTTTCCACTTTGTTTAGCCTGTGTCTCGCTTTCTTTTATGTATTCCCGTTTTTTCATCTCTCTTTTTTTCTTTTTTGTGCTCTGTTTGCTACAATTAAACACATTTTATTTGCGAATGTTTATGGTGCCTGCATGATGCGTATACGCAATGTGTTTGCTCTGCTGCTTGCATGTTGCGTATACGCCGTGTTCGCCCGTCCAGCCACCACAGACTCGTAAATGGTGCGTGGCCCATTCAGGCGTACATATTTCTTTTTAAAGATACGACCACAGCATAAACGTTTAGCCTTGGCTTTGCCTTTGCCTTTCGCCCCGGCCCTCAATTAAATTTCGTTTTATTTTATGTCCAGTAAAAGCCCGGTCTCAGGTGCGCGGCCAGTATTGGGAAATTTATTAAAAGACAAATTAATTTTCGCAAATTTGGCAGACAAGTTTAAGCAAATTCTTCAATTTTCATCTAAAAAAACAATTTAAAGGATAAAATTATAATTTGTATGTATTTCATTTATTAAAGCTTTATTGCTGATTGAAAAGCAGCTCTTACTTTACTTTTACTCACAATCCATAAATATTTTCAAAATAATTTTCAAACTTTAACAAAGCAACACATTAAAAATACTTTGGAAAATGACAAAAATTTTTAATTGAAATATGGCTTCCTTACCATTCAGATTTGACTTAAGCCAGAGCCAGACATATAAATTTCCACTTTCCATGTGCTTGACAAAACATATTGCAGCTTTTATATGTGCAAATAAATTCCATAAATCCAAAAGGCAGCCGAATGGTAAATACAATTTTCATAAAAAATAATTAAATAAACAAGAAAGCACACAGACGGAAAGAAAGAAAGAAAAGCTAGGATCCAGAGAGACCAGAAACCAAAAGGCATTAGCAGCAGATTACTATTGGGGGCAGTAGGGGGGAAGTCCAACTTGCAGCTTGCATCTCGGAATCCGACTCCGGCCCAAAGAGTCATTAGCAATGTGACCCAGAAATGGACTAACGACATAAAATTTTATGCTGTTTGCCATAATAAATTTAATTAAAAAATCAAATTGACTGAGAGAGAGCAAAGTCGTAGCCCCAGTATACCAGCAGCCACTTGAACATTAGCCCCAGAAACGCAGTTCGAGTCCGAGTCGCAATTTGTTGCCTACGAATGTGCTGAGTAATATTTGGGTCAACTTCTGCCGGTCGACATTCGCCTTAATGGCCTGCAGAAGGAGGCCAGAAGGACCAACCAGCCCATCCAGTCAGATGGAATTATCAGACTTCGCAAAATTGCTTTCGGACATCTGAAGTGCATTTTATGGAAGGCCTAGGGGCAAAATGAATGGCAGAAAAAAAATTAAGCGCAAAATAAATGTCTCCAGCGCTTTCACCTTGAAGTCGAAAGTTAAGAGAGAGAAAGTTAGACAAAAGTTTATTTTTTCAATTTATTTTCCCAATGGCTTTCCCCTGGCTGTCCTGCCTCTTCATCCTTTATCAATTTGTTGGAGTTTTTCTTTTATGAGCTGCCAGTTAATTAGGAAATAAGAAAGAGAGCGAAAGGAAGAAAAATCTGGGCGGCTAATCAGCTGAATGTTGTGGAAACAGCCAACTCAAAGGTGTTCGAAGCGGAAATGAGGTAATCCAGGAAAGGAGCTGAAGTCTGCTAGGAAAATACTAAGTGATTTTCACCTTAATTGGCTTGGGAATGAGATGAGGATTGAGCAAAATGATTGAATTCAACATCTTAAATTTAAAAATTGTCCTTAAAATGTTTTTGATTTTAAAGCTCGAAAAAATGATTTTGTTATCTTGAAGAATTTAATGTACAATTTTACCCTTTACATTTGAAGTGTATGTTTTTTATTTGTTTTTCATGGAGCCAAATATTATTTTAAAATTGCAGATTTTAGTACAATACAATTTTGTTAACATTCGCTTAGAGTAGCAAACGCATTTTTTCTAAAAAATCCTCGATAAATTCGGCTTGTGATCTGTTTAATCGCCTAGCCTGATCAACACTCTTTTCATAGTTAGTCTCGTCATTCAAGCGTTTATAGGCTGCTGCCCGATAAAGCCAAGCACGCAGATATCTTTCATCCACATGTGTTAGTACATAGTCACAATCCATGATACTATGCTTCAATTCACGCATCCTAAAAGAGTCAAATTATTTGAAAATACTAAACCTTAAGAAGAAACATTAACTCACTTGATGGAACACATGGCTCTGTTTACATACAAAACAGGCGTGTCTTTAATATATTCCAGACCCTTTGTATAGTAGTTTTTGGCCAAAGCAAAGTTTGATTTGCGATACTCAAAATTTCCCATCCGCCGAAATGTTTCGGCCACATCTTCTCGCTGTTTTCGGGCCAAAATTCGATCCTCGGCATCTGGATTGACTTGACGCATAAAAGTAAACTGATTTGTATTGATCGGGACATTCTTTTGTTTTAGCTCGACGAAAAGTTGTAGTGCTCCTTTCATTTCGCTGTGTTACCAGGAATGGAAATTCGTTTATGTTAAGCGTCGACTTTTTCCTGTTTTTTGACAAACTAGCGATACAACTTTTTATAGCGGATATTATTTATTGCCTACCCTGCTCTACTCACTCCGTCTTGTTGGCATTTTCTATCGCTTCCAGACACTCGATCACTTCAACGACTTTCGAAGGATGTTCTTCGAGAAACGACTCATCGGTTTCGGGATGTTGATATATTAAAATTTCTGGTTTGGGTAATTCTAAGCTAAGACGTTTTTCATTGTCTTTGTTTTTGTCCAGTGTGTTGATGGTCAAGGACATTTGTTTGTATATATTTTTATTAAAGTGTGATTGTGTATTTTTTGTTAAATGTGTTGATGTGTGAAGTAACAACATTAATATTTGACATAAAAAACATTTCATAAATGTCTATTTTTAAAAAATGTAACTATTGCGATTTTCTTACAACATTAAATATTCTTTACAGCTCAACATATTATACACGGTAATATATATTTTAATTCCAGTTTGAGCTGCTTGCTTATTTCCTTTTGTCATCGTTATCTCTTGCCTTTTGCCGGCCCTCAACCCGCATTTCCTGCCATCATCTGATTATATATTCCTCTCAAATTAATTGACTTTTGCATCAGCAAATTAAATTGTCGCGACCCAGAATCTTTTACGCTCCGCCACAAAAACCAAAACCAACCCAGCTAAAAACCCGACTTAACTCAAACCAGATTCAGATTCCCCGCCCATCGGCAAGTTTTCTTCTGTGATTGTGATTGTGCTTCTTCATCCCATTGCCGTTGGATATTTTTGCATAAAATCCTCTGTGCTGCGAGCGATTTTTAATTTGAATTAAAAATGCATCATTGCGTTGATTTTAATGCACACACAATTAAAACGGCAAGTCAGGAAATTGCCAAATGCATTTAAAAGCCAAGAGAAAATCCAAATGCGAAAATCAATGAGCAATTGTGAATGCAAATTGGAAAAATTCGAATCGAGGGAGTTAAAACGAGACAAAAACAAGAAAGCAGATACAAAAAAAATGAGTCGAGCGCGTTGAAATTAAATGAACTGAATGCAAATCAAACTAATGTAGAGTTGGCAACATACGCACATTTCAGCCACCCCCTTTCCTGTCGATTTTCCCGAGGAAAAGCTGAAAAGTTTCGCCTGCTAATCGCTAATTGCTTTTAAAGACAGACTGGGGAAAATGCGAAAAGTCCGCGGGGTGAGCTGTAATTGTCGCGCTTTTCAAAATGCTCAATTTGCAATGCAAATGTCAAGCATTAGTTTAGCAGCTGTCGACAGATGGCGCCACCGCGGAATGAAAATGAAAATACTTTTATGGCCCGCAGTGTATGTACAGTGCGCGGATTGCGATTGCCGAGTGTGAGGGGGTGGGATCAAGGGGGCAGATCAAGCTGGCAATGTTTGGCAACAGCTTAGCGCACAATCAATTAAACTGGTTTATTGACACTTTTCCTCTGACACAGACAAACACACACTTGACACCAACACACATCACAGTGGAAATCGTGTGAGAAGAGGATAAAAAAAAGTTAAGCAAGACTCTGGAATACTCTGATATGAAATAAATATGTCCTGAAAAAATATGCTACATTTTTTTAGATTTTAGAGGTTATTTAATTTAATAATTTAATAACGGCATACCATAAAAATCTAATAAATAAACCGAAATTTGGAAGTAATTAATACTAACTGAAAAAATTAGCAATTTGTTATAATTATCAAAGCAGTTAAAAATACAAAATTACAAATAATTTTCCAGCCCCTACTTGAATTAACCTTATACTCTACCTCATTTTTCTCACACCAAGTCACCTTAAGCATCCCCAAACACTTCGTCTGCTCTGTAAACACTTGAACGTCTCATGGAAAAAAGTAAACTGTGCAATTAGTTGACTTAACTTCTATGACATCGAATTGGCAATTTATTAAGCAGCACAAAAGGCATTTTTCTCCGGTCCCCTCTACTTCCTCCACGAACTGTCTCACTTCTGTGCTCAAGCAAACGGAAATTGAGTGTCCTTGCAGAAGGGATTTATTTATGGTTCATAGATTAAATACTAATTAACACCCAACCACACAAGCGCACCCAGTGCGTTGGCATTTGATTTATGTGGGGAGCATCGCTCGGCCTTTGTGCGTGTGTCCTGTGCGGGTCCTGTAAGGATTAGACGGGGCGGCAGCGGCAGCAGCAGAAGGAAAAGAATAACAGGGCGGCAAAGGACCGAAAAAACATTTGCCTGGCCCACCGATGGGCCATTGACCAAGGTCCTTGGTCCTTAGTCCTGCCTCCTCGACTATTATGCGTATCTCTCGCTCGCTACGCTTAATGCCATAAATTCTGCTTAAATTATTGGGGTTGGTTAACACGCTCCATTTTCGTTTTCGGTTTCGGATTCGCATTTACTTTTATGCTCTTCATTTGTTTTTGCTTTAGCACCCATTGTCTGTCCTGTCCTGTGGGCACCTTTAAGGTCGCCTTTCGAGACGCAAATTACCATATGAAAATATTTTTATTCGTTTTGGTTTTTCCATCAACAACCTCACAGGCATTGTTCGCAGTGCATTGCCGGCTGGAGGTGTTGGATGTTGGAGCCTGTTAAATTTATGTGTCTGCATGTCGCGGACGCGTAAAAAACCTGCATAAGAATCAGATTCACTGCGAACTCAATGGGTTTGGGGGTGCGACGTATAATCAAGCGAGACAATGCACATAAAGTCTGCTCAACTCTTTGGAGGTCTGAGTGCGTTGATTAACGACTAACTGTCCAGTTATCCTCCCCCGAAAGCAGTAACCAAAATTTAAAAATCCCATTTAATCCGTTTATTATTCCTTTAAATTGTAAAATTGTTTAACTTTTTTTTTTGAGTGTGAATGGAATACTGCAATTTTCTGTTTGATCCACACATCAGATTATGGTATTTATCGGCCTATGCAAATGAAAATGGAAAACCATCTCTGTGCAGAGCATGATGTTTTAAGTCTACCTCATTTGAATGCACTAATTAAATGCGCTTTAACGGAAAATCACTTAAAAATCGCTCGAAATGTGCGATTCATGATGACAGCATACATATGTATGCATGTGAATCCAGTAAAAAGATTGATGGATTGGTTTTTAATAGGCAGGTGTTATGTTCAGAATTTAAGTTAAAAGTAAAAGATATTGGTCTTTTTATTCTTTTTATTTTCTGATTCTTAATTTTTAAAATATTGGTAATAAGCTTTGGTATAGTATGGTTATATGTTTGAAGAAATTGTATAAAATATATATAAAGTTTTATTGTTCCATGTTAAGCGTCATTTGCAGTTTTTAAATTTATTCGTCCGTTATAATTAAATATATTTTCAAATTAAATTAACTTAAAATAAAATTGGTTTGTTTGAAAGTCATCAAGACCAAACTTATTTCTGACAATTAAAAATAAATTTTTCTGATTGCATTAAAAAATCATTGTGTTCACTTTCTTTTTTTTCGCTTATTTATACTCTGATTAATCCATTATGGCATTTCGCATGCAATTTGTTAGTGAAAAATCCGCTACTTAATCGAATTAATTAAAATTTCATATCACGCTGAAAGCCCAAATCGTGAGAGTCTACAAAAAGACCGAAACAATTTCAAGTTGAGCGCACAAAAGCCGACCGCATATCAAATATGCGTCTAGGTGGGCCTGCATGTGTGTGAGTCTGCATGTGGGATGTCATTAAATGCAAATTTATTTAAATTTCATTATTGAATATAATCGGCGAGCGGCTCTGAAATCGTTTCGGTAATCGCAGCCAGAAAACTGGTTGAATGTTTTCGCTTGGCACCAATTAAATTCGCCGATGTAACGCACAGAAGGGCACACCACACATCCCCAGATGACCGTGTGTGTGGAAATGCAAATATCCGCAATTAAGCAATAATAATAAGCATCATTAATAAATCATTGCGAGAGCAACAGCAACAAGCAGAGAAAAAAGAGTGAAATATATGAATAAATTGAATGGCACGGCTAGCCCACAAAGAGTATTAAAGTGGCAAGAGAGATCCATTGAGAACCATTGACAGTTGGTGGTGTACTCATGTGTGAGACCCTTTCTTTTGTACTCCGCCACTGAGAAGTGCAATTAATATAACGTTCGCAATTAAATCTTTGCAACTTTAGTTTAAACTCCAGTTTAAATACTTATGCAGTCAAAAGTACTAAATAAGAATTTAAGAATATAACCTAATTAAAAAGGTGTCCAAAAGTGTGCAACAAAATATTTCTAGTCAAAAAAGTTCACGCAGAGAGACGACTGTCCTTTATTCACAGCATACTTTTAGACACATAATTGAATAAAATGCATAAAATGTAAGTATTAAAAGACCGAAAATAAAAGTAGTGTCTATATCCTTATCCTAAGTTTTGAGAACACTGTGAATGCAAGGGCTGTACCTCCATCTTTACCCTATGACTTCAAGAAACAGTATCTTCGGCTCTTTTCAATTGCCTGCCGATATTTCAATTTTCCCCTAAAAACCCATAACTCATCGATCACGACAGTTGGCCCTCGTTTTGTATAGACTTAACCCTCGAAAGCAGTTTCGTGTGTTCTTTCCGCTTCCCCAGAAACAAAAAGCAATTAAAACGTTTTCCTCATCGTGGTTTGTTTTGGAGCATTCCCGGCTACAGCCAAAACCCCAAAAACACTTGACACTACAACTACGAGTTACGTTTTCCTGTCTCCTGGTCGCGTATAAAAGTTTAGCACATTCTTCTTGGACACCCTCGTAAATTTCGAAATGGACGTTTTTATGTGTGTGTATGGCAGCGCCGGGCACTTCAAATAATTTCAGTGCACCAAAAATTTATTGCAATTTCGGTAATGAGTGTGCAGTTGTGCAATTAAGAAAAGGAGTTGGAGTTGCAGCGAAATAGAGAGCAAAAAATCCTAGGGGCAGGACCTTAGCTTCTTCCTTAATGCTGTTAGCTGTTAGTGTTTGCCTGGCGGTTTTCCTGCTTGTTTGTTGGTGGTCTTCTTGTTTGAACTTTGTGGCATTTCCGTTGCATTTCTTTTGTGCTTGTTTGCCGGCGGAAACGGAAGTTTTTAATGTTGCCCATTGGCCGTAAGTTCGCGTGGATCGTTCTCAAACGATTGCCGTCATTGTTTTCGCTTAAAATTAAATGTTTTCCCCTTTGCGCAGATACTTGAATGAATGCTTTAAAGGCCAACAAAAAAAAAAACACGGCACTGTGAACCAACAAAAGCGCATTGCAATGGTTTATTTTTGTGCAAAAGTTTTGTACAA